TTTGCTGAAATCTTTGGATCTCCAGATGAGTCTCCGGAGGTAGGCCACATGCCTTGTTAATTTAAGAGTGACTGTGAGTTTTCCAGTAGCCTTTCATATTAATATCTGAATATGCATTCAATCATTTTTAACCCGTGCAGGTATGTGCCTTACCATGCATTTGCATACAATGGTTTTCTGTTACTTTCTCCAGTTTTGTGGCAGGTCTACATTTTTTTTGTTGGTCTTACAAGCTTTTTTTTTTTTTCTTTCTTTCTCCAGTACATTTGATCATAGTTTCATTCGATTTATGGATCGTAGTTCTTGAAACAGAAACTTTCTCGCAGTAGACATGAACGTGGAATCAACAGGTAGAAAGTTGTCTGTCTTAGATGAAACGTTTTCTTGAAAAGCACTGACTACATTTTACCGTGTAAGTATGAATTACTGCACAGTGCCTTTAAACGGAGATGAAAATGCAGTTACATGCAATCGATATAACTGAAACATTGACTGTTCTATCAAATTGATATCTTTTTTTTTTTAAACCTTGCCATCAGATGTCAGTTCCCTTGCATATTAAGACATGCCTTTCAACTAAACATCTCTAACTGCAGTCTGTGCATTGGGTGATTATTTGCTCTTGGACGTAGCATTTATTTGTTCTTCTCATTGCATTGGAGATTGAAGTGAAAGTAGTGAAAGCTTGCATTTTACTAAGTGAGATTTATTCGACCGACACGCTGGCTGAAGGAGTGCTTAAGCCACGACCTGTTCATCAGGTCAATTTCATACAGTCAAGGAGCTTTTTGTCAAGATGATATTGGTCATGATAGAGGGAGGAAATAAAATACCTTCCTGTTCTCAAATGAATCACTGTGGTGATAAGTTAGAATATTTTATATGTATATTGGTGATTAAAAAAAAAATATATATATATATATAGTTTGCCATTATGAGTTTGTAAATGCTGTAATGTATCTTTTATGAATTGCTATGTCAGACGAGAATATTTTTTTAGTATTCGGAAAGCAGTCCGGCGTATGATGACTGTAGAAAAGGAAATATTAAATGAGGGAACTCTGGTTCATCTCCTCGCCTTTCAAACGCTCTCCATGGTGCTGAATGATGCCTTCCTTATTTGCGCCATTCACGAAAACCCAAGACGTCAAATTAAAATAATTTCGCTTTCGACTGAAGACTGAAATAACATCTCATTGCCGGTCATAGCAGAAACTGTGCCATCTTAAACTGAGCTTATTTTTTTGGTTTGTTTGATTATTTGTAATATTCCAAGTAAGCTCACGGCGTCGCTGCTCGCTCACAGATATGGAGAGGTTAATCTCTCCAC